CCCTTCACTTTCACAGTCCAGACTGGAGAAGGTGATGGATGGAACCAGGTTAGACTGGGCCACAGCAGAAGCTCTCGCCCTGGGCTCATTACTTGCTCAAGGTAAGGTGTTTCTGTTTAGCTGCACAGCTGGTAGAAAATGGTTTACATGACATTTGTTACATGTGATCGCTACAGATTTTTGAGTTATACCTGCCTCCTATGGTTTTGACTAAAGAGATTCTAAAACGTGTCATCTTTTCTTACTTGATAATGTTATTTAATCTTAGTAAAAATCATGCTGACAGCCTTCATTAGAGAATAGAGCAATTATACTTGGAAAACAAAGGGCTCAGGGCTGGATGTGTTAGAAAGATATTCTCTAAAAATTGTAGGGTAAATGATGACTCTCCATTCTTATACAATCTCACTTGGACTACAGACTTTTGGACAGGTGTATTCTAGTAAGGATAATCTATTATCCTAAGGGAAATTCTCGGGATGAGCAGACATATAAAAATTCAGGGTCACCATGTCTTATCATTACTACATTATTTATGGCAATCTGGATTTTCTTTTCCTTCTTGCTTGCTTAAGGTTTTAATGTGCGTCTGAGTGGCCAAGATGTTGGCCGTGGAACTTTTAGTCAAAGGCATGCGATGGTGGTTTGCCAGGAGACTGATGACACCTACATCCCTCTGAACCACATGGACCCTAATCAGAAGGGGTTTCTAGAGGTAAGATGTTTTATTATCTACTGGAAAACCCAGATGCTGATGATTATAGTGACAGGATTCTTAAAGCAAATAGAAACAGACGTTGGCAACTTTGAACCCAATGCTTTTTGAAGTGTTGGCATCAATGTAATATACTAGCAAGTATAATAGACTAAACTATTTTTCTCTGGCTACTTATCTGTAATCCTATAAATGTCAAATGGATGTGTATTTTGTCAATCAAAAACTGACTTTATAATCTGCATGTAGCTGGATTCATTAAAGCCAAAGATGTGACTAAGCAGCCAGCATTTCTTTCCTATTAAAATTAAAGCCATTTCCTCAGGTTACTTTATTCCCTAAGATTTAGTAGGCTTGATAAATATATCTATTATGTATTTCCACATGCCAGTCACTGAAATATACTTGTTAGAATCAAGGGAATGGGCTGAGTCTTTTCATTTTTATCTCTCCGACACTCATCATGTGCCTGGCACATGATGTTTATTAAAATAAATTATCCTTTAAGGTACAATTAGTGGCATGTCATCTTCCCATGCTAGTCATTTGTTTGAGAGTATAATCTTGAGTTTACTGATACTCAATATTTATTTAAAAATTCAAGTATCAAAAGCAAAGCTCCAGGAAGATTACTTAAAAGACATACAGCTCATCTTTTCTTTCTTTTTCTTTTCTTTTTTTTTTTTTATATATTTTTATTGAGGAATTGGGGGAGGGGAACAGCATTGGGGAATTGAGGAAGGGGAACAGACAAGTTGTTGTCTTTTGTTCTTTAGTCTAGTTGTGGAGGACACTGCTTCACTGGCCCATGTTGGTATTATGATCATTGCGTTCTTCCCGGGTGAGGCAGTGGGTTGCCGGCCATTGGATGGCCACTTACGGCAACTCATGGCAGCTCACGGCACTTCTTGCCAGCCACTGATGATAGCTTTACAGCAGTCCACTGCAGCCCCACTGCAGCCTACACCGTTGACAGTGACTCACGGCAGTCCAGCTCCAGGTCGAGCTGTTGTTCACAATCTTAACTATAGAAGGCGCAGTGTCACTGGCCCATGTGGGAACCGAACCGGTGGCCCTGCTGCTCAGAGCTCGTGCTCCCAAGCCAACTCTTAACCAATTGAGCCACTCGGCCAGCCCCCTCATCTTTTCTTTAAGTTAGTTTAACGTTCACTTCTGGATAAAGTCAAATTGGTAATCTACATACTGAAATGTTTAGTATTCCCCACTCCACCAATGTCTTTTATTGAATTGTGATTTAATATTAGTATCAATTACCTTTAAATTTTGCTATTTGAAAAGCCCCAATTAAATGCCTTGCCTCTGTTGTAAGGAGGCTATCAAAGATTTCAGTTATTATCTAATCCCATGTCTTTTATATGAAGACCCTGGGAGGAACTCCTGCTTGATCTTGGTTTGTCTTTATTGTGTGCACACTATGAATTGTGTAGCTGAAGAGCATTCCCTTATCAATAATGGCAGCTGTAAAATCAGAAAATAAAATAATGAGTATATGCACTTTTCAAAAACTATATATAATGACTTCTAGAAAAGGGGTAGAGGCCATCGTAGCCTTGGTAAAAGTGAGTAGGTCACCGGGTTATGTCTTTATATAACTCTGTTCTGTTTCTCATACTTAATTTCTCTTCTTTCCCACTACTTACGTTTACACCATCAAGTTATATGTTATGTATACTTACAAGCCATCTTACATACTTTTTAGAATAAATAAACACATTAATAGATTCAAGAAAATAAGATATGCAAGTGTACAAAGTACAACAGAAGGAACAGTTAATCTCCTTGGGGAAGTCAGGAAAAGCTTGGCGGAAGCAGATTTCAGCTGGTATTTGAAGAACGTTAGGAGTTGCTTATTCTAATACATGTAGGGAGAACATTCGAGGTGGACACAATAGCACCTAAAAATACTGAAGTAGGGGGATGTGATGTGCCCAGGGAACTACAAATAGCTTCATATGACCAGAGGTTAAACTGCAAAGTGGATACAGGAGTAAAAAAAGAGGAGACAGGCCAAATAGAACTACCCACATTGTGGAAGGCTGAGTATTATCTGAAAGAGAAACATGGTGGAATTTTGATCAGGTGAGCTGATTTTCATGTTAGATTACCCCTGACAATACTTTGGAAGCTTAAGATGAAAAAAGATGAGCACTCAGGACAATTTCTAAGGAGGCCTATCAATCATCTAGGCAGGAAATCATGGGGACCTGAATAAGGGCAATAGCAGTGCAGATGGAAGAAGGGGCCAGATGTGAGAACTATTCAGGAAACCACAGCTTGTGGGACTTAGTGGATGTGGGGTGTGAAGAAAGACTAGGCTTGGCTATCTCCTAGCTCCCTGACTTGCACAACTGGTATATGATGACAGCATTCACCCAGGGAGCAGATTTGGTAAGGAAAGATGATGGATTCAGTTTTGGACATTTGACTTAGAGACAGCTGAACGACATAGAAGTTTCTGTTGGACAATTAGATACGTATATCTGGAGATAAGGAACAAATCTATCTTGAGATACAGATTTGGAAGTATCAGGGTGTAGGAGTATATGAAGCCACAGCGGTGGGAGAATCCCTCTGAGAGAGAGCAGAAGGAGAAGAGGGCCAAGGGATAGGGAACTGGGGAAAACAACATTTAAGGGGCTGGCAAAAGAAAAATATTTGCCAAAAGAGCATCCAGAAAGGCAGGAGGAGAATTCGAGTCCCTGTGTCATTGAACTCAAGGAAAAATGAGTCAGATAAGAGGAAGAACAACATGGCCATTGGATTCGGCAACTAGAAAGTCAAGGGTTGACCGCACGTAAAGCTATTTTTTTTTCCTTTGGCTATCCCTTTATTTTTATGTAGGGCTATTTTAGTGGAGTGCTGAAACCAGAAGCTAGATTATACTACTTGAAAGGTAAACAAGAGTTAAGGAGGTGGAGACAGGGGATTAGCTAGCTCTTTCTAGAAGCTTGACTGCGAAAGCAAGCAATAGCTGGAGAACACTGGTCAAGGGCATATTTCTTGTTTAGCTTTTAAGCTTTTGATTGTCTATCTGCTGAGAGGAAAAAGCCAGTGAGGAGAGGTCCAGAAAAGAGGAGTTAGGCGATGAAGCTGAAGAGGGATGGATTTAGGATATGAGTGAGTATGTCAGCTTTGGGTAGGAAAAGAGATGAGGAGGGAGGTGACGACAGGCGGAGGTGCAAGGATAGTGGCCATTCCAAACCTTATTTACAACATGCTCTGAGAAATGTAAGCCTTTTCTTTTTCCTTCTATTGGGTTGTCTGAAAAGTCATGACGCATTTTTGCAATAAAAAACGTAAAAAAAATATGTCATGACTTTTCCAACAACCCAATATTAGCATTAATTTGATGCTGGATTTACTCCCAGGCCATAAGTTTTTGTTTCTTCAGTTTCTTCTGGGATATCTTTTTCTTCTGTGCAGCCTCCTTTTCTGGTTTAGGAACAATAACAATTTGCTCTTTTTCAGTGAGGATCTTCTCACTGAGGCAGGCAGAGCTCATGTATGGATTAATCCACCCATGAGCTCTGTAAGTCCTGTGCTGCACCTTGGGAGCTTTGTTCTGCTGGCTGTGCCCTGTCACCAGAGTCTACATTGAGACCCTTAAATTCAGCATTATTCTCTGCATTTTTAAGACTGTGCAGTAAAAATTCTGTACTGTTTTTGGGCCACCGACCCTGCATCGAACTCCACTGTTTGGCCTGAGCACACCTCCGAACCCCACCATTGTAATGTCGGAAAGACACACATTGCTTTTGTAACGTAACATCCTTTAGATACTTGGTGGCTCTTCGGATATGCATACCCTTGATGGCTTGGGCAGTTTCATGAGTGTTCTTAAAGTGCACGTGAAGATCTGAACCTCTCAATTTACATGATTTTGTGGAGTTCTCCAGGTCAAGTGAATAGCAAACTATTTTCAGAGGTCACTTCAGGTTGCTTACAGGAAGAGGAAGCCGTAGCAGTCCTTATAAAAATTAATGCATTGTATAGATTATAACTAAAATCAAAATAGAAATCAGAAAAGGCAAGTTAGCATAATCCCACCATGCTAACAAATCATCAGTTTTCATTTTCTGTTGTCATTGAGTGCTTATCCATATAAATCACAAATTTTTGTAGTTGTAATCATCACAGAGTTGTAATTTTTCTCTAGAGTTTCTTTTAAAAAATAAAAGCTTCATTGAGATATGTTATAGAATTCAGCCTTTCAACGTGTACAATGAAGTGATTTTTAGTGTATTCACAGAGTTGCATAACCATTACCACTATTTAATTTCAGAACATTTTTATCACCCCCAACAAGAAATTTCATATTCATTAAGCCTTTTTCCCCTTTCACCCTCAGCCCCTTGCAACCACTAATCTACTTTCTGTTTCTATTGATTTGCCTATTTTGGACTTTTTATATAAATAGAATCATACAAAATGTGGCCTTTTGTGACTGGCTTCTTTCATTTAGCATCATGTTTTCAAGGTCCATCCATGTTGTAGCATATGTCAGTATTTCATTCCTTTTTATTGTCAAATAATATTTTACAGATATGTAACTTTTACAAAATATTTTTTAGAAAATTTTTGAAACAAGCACAAAATTACAAAAAAGTTGGATGTAGAATGCAAAAAGGAACTTTTTCTCATTCTGAAACACGTGAGACGTCAAGTTGGAAGCATCAGGTCGCCAACCTGAAGCCTTAGCCATGTATTTCCTACACACAAGGACATTCTCCTACATTACCATAATGTCACCATTCAAGTCAGGAAATTAACACTGTGGCATGACTGCCACCTGGTCCTCAGACCCAGTTCAGAACCATGTTGCATTTACTTGTCATTACTCTTTAGCCTCCTTGGAGATGCATTATAATTTTATATTCTGCCTTTACCTTAATGTATTGTGATGATGATACTTTTCATCTATCGTGCAAGTAGGGTATTCAAATAATGGATTCTAGCCAAAGGTAAGACTTTTTGGGGTAATTTACCCCCCTTTTGTTTTGTGACATTTTTTAAAAAGCTTATATGCCACAGTTTTACTCTCAGCTCCAAAGGCGGCTCATCAACCTCTTTCATCTCTACCTCTCTTTGTCCCAACTTTCCCATACCCATCACTCATAGAGGTGGTAGATCCCCTTTCTCAAAGGCGTGTGGAGAAGACTAAAAACAGCTGCTCTCTACGCCCTTCTGCCCTCTTGAGAGGTTTGTATAAATGTGAGGCTTTTACCGTTGCTGACTTGTGTCGCAGCTTCCTTTGCTTGATGGTGTCCCTGTCCCCTTCTGTGCACTAGGTCAGCAACAGCCCGCTGTCAGAAGAGGCTGTCCTGGGATTTGAGTATGGGATGAGCATCGAGAGCCCTAAGTTACTGCCCCTCTGGGAGGCTCAGTTTGGTGATTTCTTCAATGGCGCCCAGATCATCTTCGACACATTCATCTCCGGAGGTTGGTGATGGCATATGGCTGTGCAGTGGATGCATGGCACCGGCTTCATGGGAACAAATGAATGAAAAGCGGCCACAGCTGCTTACGAGACTCCTTGTACCACAGCCCCTTGGGAGAGTTGGGAGGTTGCCCTGTCATCCACTGGGACATGGCAGCTTTCAGGTCGTTAAATAAGCTGCTGGAGCGTTGGGTGCTACTCAGCGACTATGCAGGGAGCACCTTCCCATCTGCGGGGGATGTGCTGGGCTGTAGGGAGCCGGGCATTACCTGCCAGCTCCTAGGTGGTTTGACTGGCAGGTCTGCTCTCGGGGTGTGTTGAGTAGCTGTGGCATGAGTCCCAGGAAGCACTGGTGACATAGTGAGGATTTGTGATCAGGGTGAATGGCAGCCGTGAAAACCTGCTTCCCTCAATCCGGGGACACTCATGTATCTGAACCTTGGAAGTTGTAAATCTTTAATATATCTAATCAGCACTTATAAAAGCAGTGCCGGCTTACTGTAACAATTGAAACTATATAAAGTAGAAGTCTGGTGTCCCCCAGACTCTCACCCCATTGTGGGGGGTAACCGCTCTTGGATTTTGAGTGTGCACTGCACCTCCTTCCCCTGGTGTGTTTCTCTGTAACTCTGTAGTTGTGAGAAAGAGCAGAGCCGTGGGGAGATTGGACTTGGACATGTCCAGAGACTTTTCCTAAGTGCCTGTGTCCTCAGCTTGAGGACAGTGGCCGGTGTTGTCAGCAGTGCTATGAGGTAGGGGCTGCCCAGTCCTGGTAAGAGTTGTGCCCGAGGTAGAGTCAGAGTGGCCACACTCTTGCTGGAAGCTGGACGTTCACCATTGAGTTTGTCTTCCATTTGCTAAAGCCCAGGGCATGTGTGACTCTGGGGTTTCAGCCGGTAGGATGGACGTTTTTCTCCCAAGTATGGTGTGGCAATGCTAGAGGGTGCATATGATGAAAATGGTGTTAGGGGCGCAGGCAACAAACTCACATTTGTTCTGCTCTCCAAGCCACGTCAGACAGTTTGTTCCTGCCTCGCGGAGGCCTCACTCCCTCCCTCTGCTTTTCCAGGAGAGGCCAAGTGGCTCCTCCAGAGCGGCATTGTCATCCTCCTTCCCCACGGGTATGATGGGGCTGGACCCGACCACTCATCTTGTCGCATAGAGCGTTTCCTGCAGGTATGTTCAATGCCTCCTGGGTTCCCAGCAATGTTTTCCCGTTTCCAAGGTGCTTTGGACTAGGACTGCCTCCTGCAGATCCTTTGTGTGCACCCTAAATTGTCAGACATTGTGTATTTGAAAGAAACACATTCAATGCCCTGGAACTGGCACCCTGGCAGCTCTGCCGCCTCCACCGAGCTCTGTAGGGACTTCTGCCCTCGATTTTGCCTTTATTTTCCCCCCAGGGTTGCCTACTCACGCCCTCTCTCCTAGATGGAGGGGATCAGTAAGAATGGTCAGGATTTTGTTGATTCACTCTCTTTTTCTCTCCACTGCTTGTGGGGTGGGCTTAGGAGCCATGCCTCAGCTTTCTGTCCCACCAGGATCTTCTGAGATTTCATTCCTTGCTCTTAACTTTTCAACCTTGTTAGCTGCTTTCGATTTTGTTTTTGTGTTTTAAACAAACAAACAAATAAACCAAACTATAATTGTGTTTATTTCATTAGGAAAGTGAGATTCCGACAGGGTTCCCTTCCACCATCTTACCCCCACAGTGATCAGAAGCTGTGTTGTTTTTTTAACAGATCCCCTCCAGGGGCTAGGGGCTTCTTGCAGTCAGCTGTGTTTGGGAACAACCGTGTTGAAATATGTGGATTCAGGCAGATGGGGGGTGGGGAGGGGCATCAGACCTCTCCTCTGGTTAATTCTTCATAGGCTGTAAATTTACCTTCTAGTATTTTCTGTAGTGGAGGGAAAATCTTTTCTCCTTATTGAGATTGAATGAGATGATCTGAACGTTCTTTTTTCTCTCATTTCTTCCCCAGATGTGTGACAGTGCAGAGGAGGGGGTGGATGGGGACACAGTGAACATGTTCGTGGTACACCCCACGACTCCTGCACAGTATTTTCATTTGCTCAGGAGACAGATGGTCCGGAACTTCAGAAAACCCCTCATCGTTGCTTCTCCGAAGATGTTACTCAGATTCCCTGTAAGTAGAAAAAGCCGGTTGGAAGCCTTTCTCCTCTTGTCATTATTTTTACTGCATTTTCCTGTTGTCTGTATCTCATTATAGTTCTAAATTGCAGAAACATCTTTTTAGTCTTAATTGGCTTTCTCTCTCTCTCTCTCTCTCTCTCTCTCCCTCGCTCCTCCTCCTCCTCCTCCTTCTCCTCCTCCTCCTCCTCTTCCTCCCTCCCCAACCTTTCAAGAATAACTATAAATATAGGTAGCTCTCGGTTTCACTGTAATGAAGTGAAGGACCTGATAGTAGATATAATCACACCGGTATCCCGGCCTCAGCAGAAATAATTTTTTAGAAAGAGTTTAAAAGTCCAAATGGTCTAAGCACTACTAAGTTGATAGTAGCAAGTTGGGAATTTAGAATATTTTGATGTAAATGAGTGGTGTTATTCATTGACTTTTATTTAGATTTTTTTCTCTTAAATGATTTATCACAGTTAGATTCCTGTTTCAATATGCACATTATAACAATATAACTATTGCCACACTGTTTTCAAAGTCCACATTTTAAAAAAGTGTACATTTTCTCTTGGTTTACCTGAACTATTAAGTGTACAACATATTTTTTAAATCACACAAATATGCTAGCTTCCAAATGGCAGAGTTCAAGATACTAAATACTAGTAAGCATTTACTTGTCCCATCGGCTATAATTTTTTTTCAGTTTTATATGAGAGCCTTAATTAGGATTAATATTCGGAAAACTTGCATTTATTTGGATGCTATTACTGAGGTGAAATGTCACTTAGGATTTGACTGTTCAAAACAATCTTGTGCTCCTCACAAAGGTTTGAAAAATTGAGGGGTATATTGAGGAAAGTTGTGAGTGATTTGCTTTTACTGGTTGTATTTTTTTTTTTTTTTTAGCTGAGCCATCCTGCTACCTGTTGGCAGCTCAGCGGCTGCTCAGCTCGGGCTGGACTCGAACCGCTGTTGCTCAGAGCTCAAACTCAATCTTGAGCGAGCTCTTAACCAACTGAGCCACTTGGCCAGCCTACTGGTTATATTTTTAAGCAGCGCCTAGCATTTGGAGGGGAGTAAGGAAACATTTGCACTTGTGTGATCTTGGGAGTGAGCACCTCCTTAAATTTTGCACCCCAGGCACCTCACTGGCCTCACCCTAGTTCTGACTCTGGGAGTCAATATTGAATGTAACAATATAATGTATGTATATTATCAAGTATTAAGTGAACTATTAGAAATTTTACTGAGAATCTCTTTTGCTGTTTGAAACAGAATAAGAGTTCATATTCTGCACCTAATATTCCACCTTTGGCCCCAAGTCTGATATATAACTTATCAAATAAAAGAGGCCTTATTAAGGAGCCTTAAAAAATATCAACAACTATCCTATAGATTTGCAAGTGAAAAACTATTATTGTTAAGTAGTCAAATGTTTAAACAGATAAGTCCTTTTATTAACTGAAAATGAATATAAACATTATTGAATTCTAATTTCCTCCTAAAAATTTGATTATAGGTACAAGTGACCTATCAGAATATAAGTCAACCGTCTCTTTTGATGGACTATTTGGAAGATGACTTGCCATGTGGCAAACATGACTCAGGGCTATGGGGAGTTTTTTTGTCAAGTATTATCTAAATCCCACCCCAACTTCTCACCCAACTCTGAACTGCCCTAGGAAGTGGGCACTGACAAAAAAGGTCTATTTCAAATGGAGAAAGATCACACATTATTTAGTCATAAGAATGGCTGGGTAGTTAATATTAATTTTTTAGGTTATATCACAATGTAACGTACGTATCAGTGTGGCTGCCCACATGGCCTAATCAGAATGCCGTAGCCCTGTTTGGGACTAGGCTGCAGGGATACTGACTAGATGATAGCAACAGGGGTCAAATCCGCAATCTCGGCTTCATCAGTTTTGTATTCTAAGTTCTTTGCAACAAGTATTTATTTAAATTGAGCTCATTAATAAGATTTATTTTCATCACAGAAATATTCCTGTATTGTTCTTCGCTCTGACTGAATAGGTTTCACTCAGAATCAAAAACTTAAAGACAGAAATAATTGCCCTAGCTCAGCTTTTTTGGTTCATAATATAAATTGTGTAAAATGCTGTTTGTAATGCCAAAATGTTAAAATGTGCTTTTTATTAGTAATAAAGTTGTATGATCAAATTGAAATTTTGATTCTTAAAACTTTATTGTGGCACCAGATGAAAGACAATCTTATGTCACCTCAGAAAGATAATTTTATTCTGAAGTATCAGAACTGACATTTTTTTGGAAAGCTATTGTATTTATTAGTGCATATGTTTACTTATAGTCCTCGGCGAGAGTTTTGATATTATTTCTTGGTAAAGATCCCTTGTAAGTAAAAGCATCTTCAGCTCCTTTCCGCTGGTTGGCAGATTTATGGCTTTTCCCTCCCTCCTTAGGCAGCTGTGTCAACTCTTCAAGAAATGGCACCAGGAACAACATTCAAACCCGTCATCGGCGATTCATCTGTGGACCCAAAAAAGTAATTTGATATGTATCTCTGTTTTCATACTTGGCAGCAGAATTTTAATTGGTGGGAAAACTAACTCCTGTTAAGGAACCCAAAGTGACCCAAATCGCCTCTGTCCTGACCTAAGTCCGTTAAATCAGTGGGGGTAGGAGTTAGAGTACGCATGAAGAGTGAATTTTGGAGGCATGTGTTGCTCAAGAAGACTTGCCAGGGTGTCACATATGACTAAACCCAACGACAGAGCCCCCGCTTCATCAGTGAAGCGTTTCAATCTGTGTGGTCCTCCTTTCACCTGGTACAGTTCTTACTTTAAGGCACTTCTTCCCCACCCCATTGTCCGTTTTCTACCCAACAGCGTTAAGAGTCTAGTGTTCTGCTGCGGCAAACACTTCTATGCCCTGCTGAAGCAAAGAGAATCTTTGGAGGCTAAGAAGCGGGAGTTTGCCATCATCCGAATAGAGGAACTGTGCCCTTTCCCACTGGACTCCTTACAACAGGAGATGAGCAAATACCAGAACGTTAAAGGTAATGATCATTAGGGTTCTTCGCTCTTCAGGCACCTGCAACCTATTTGAACTCTCTCAAAGGAAAAGAGGTTACTGGGGCAGTGAGAGTTACTAGAAAATTGGATCTTGTGGAATCTGGAGGTAGGAAAATACTACTGCTAGAGCCATGTCTCCATGTGTTTTTTGGTTTTTTTTCCAGTCTCCTCTTCTCCTATCTAAGACTTCTAATTTCTTGGGTGTTTGGAGGGAATCAATGCTATCATTTATGATAAATCAACTATAATTGTGGAAGACAAGCTTTTTCAGCAAATGGGGCTAGAATAATTGGATGTCTTTATGTACCTTATACAGAAATTAACTCAAAATTGATCATGTAAAATGTAACACTATAAAACTTCTAGAAGAAAATGGAAGAACATTTTTGTGACCTTGGGTTGGACAAAAATTTCTTAGATGTAATACTAAAAGCAGTTTCTACAAAAGAAAAATTAAACTTTATCAAAATGAAAAACTTTTGCACTGTGAAAGGTACTGCAAATAAAAGAAAAAGACAAGCCACAAACAGGGAGAAAATATTTCAAATAGATATCTGACACAGTGTTTAAAGAGCTCTTAAAATTCATCAGTAAGAACACGTATAATCCAATTTTCTTTTTAAAATATTTGTTTGGGTATTTTTTGTTTTGTTTTGTTTTGTTTTTTATTTTATTGGGGAACAGTGTGCTTCTCCAGGACACATCAGCTCCAAGTCGAGTAGTTGTTTCATTCTAGTTGTGGAGGGCGCAACTCAGTAGCCCGTGTGGGGATCAAACTGTCAACCTTGGTGTTATAAGCACTGGGCTCTAACCAACTGAGCTAACCGGCTGCCCCCTCCAATTTTTTTTATTGTTAGTTTCAGTTGTACAAAATGATGTAATGATTAGACATTTACACCGCTCACAAAGTGATAACCCCAACAAGTCTACTACCATCTGACACCATACATAGCTATCACACTACCATTGACTATACTGTACTTCACACTCCATGACTACATATTTTTAAATTACAGTCAACATTCAATATTATTTTATATTAGTTTCAGGTGTGCAGTATAGTGGTTAGACATTTATATAATTTATGAAGTGTGATAAGTCTAATACTCATCTGACACCATACATAGTTTTTTACATTACTGACTATATTCCCCATACTGTACTTCACATCTCTGTGACTATTTTGAGAGTACCAAGTTGTACTTCTTAATCCCTTCACCTTTCTCACCCATCTCCCAAACCCCCTCTCATCTAGGAACCATCAGTTTGTTCTCCATATCCATGAGTCTATTTCTGTTTTGTTTGTTCATTTATATAATCCAATTTTTTTAAAGAACTGCATGGGCAGTTTACCAAAGAACCAGATGACAAATAACCATATGAAGAGATGCAAACATAATTAATAGTGATAAGGGACATGCAAATTAAGCCAAATTGAGATATGGCCACACACTTATTTGATTGGCTAAAGTAAAGACAAAACAACAAATTAACACTATCAAGTGCTGGTGAGGATGGGGAGCAACTGTAACCCTCATTCATTCACTGCTAGTGGCAGTGCAAACTGGTGCCTGCACCCTGGAACAGTGTGCAGTTTCTTATACAGATACACATGGAACTACCATACCACCCAACAGCTCTCCACCTAGGTGTTTTTCCAAGAGAATGGAAAACACAAGCACAGAGAAATCTGCATGTGAATGTTTGTAGCAGCTTTACTTATAATTGCCCCAAACTGGAAATGACCAAAACGTCCTTCTACCAGAGAGTGGTACATCCCTACAATATCATATGACACAACAATAAAAGAGAATGAACTATTGCTGTAGGCAAAATCATGAATGGATTTGCTAATTCAGTGAAGCCAGACCCAAAAGGCTATGTATTGTATGATTCCATTCATCTGACATCCTGTAAAAGACAAAACTCTAGGGGTAGAGGAAAGGTCAGTGGTTGCTGGAGGTTGGAGGTGGGAGGAGGAGTTGAGTACAAAGGGACATGATGAGGGAATTTCTTTGTGCTAATAGAGTTGGTCCGTATCATGATTGTGGTGGTAGAAAAATGACTATACATTTGTCAAAAATAAAGACAAGCAACACTATGCCATATTAGAAAGATGTGTGTGTGTGTGTGTGTGTGTGTGTGTGTGTGTGTGTGTGTGTGAAGGTACTGAGATGAACTTTCTTTTATAGATTTTATTTGGAGTCAGGAGGAACCTCAGAACATGGGTCCATGGTGTTTTGTTTCTCCAAGATTTGAAAAGCAACTGGCCTGCAAGGTAATAGCTTTGTCTCTATTGTCGTGTTTTATGCGTGTGTCTTGTTTCTCCTGGAGCACCAACAAATTGGGTTTCTTTCCTATTATCAGTCCAGTTCTTTTAAAGATAAGCTAAAATATAAAATCTACTTTTAAGCTATTCTTTCAGAATAAAATGCTGAGTGTTTATCGAGCTATCTATGTGTACATAATGTAAAAAACAAAATGATTATACTTAAAAAAGTAAAGCCTTTACCTGTTGACTACTTTCCCAGTAGCCTACTCAGCATTCTTGTCCTAAAGGTCAACATCTAAGCCTGGGGAACAGGGTGATGAACAGGCTTGTTTTACAACCTGGGAGTAGAGACACCCAGTGATGCTTGTTCCAGGCCCATCCACACAGCTGGGATCATCAAAGGCCAAATTCTTCTTGCTTATGCTAAAGGAGGGAAAAACAATGAAAAGAGCAATTGTGCTGCTGTTTTATCTTTCTATTCTGCTTTGATTAGAATGAGTTTGCTCATGTGATACTAGCTTGCTGAGCCCAAATTATTTTCACATGTAAATAGTTCTAATTTAGAAAACTCTACAGCTAAAACCAACAAATAGTTATTGAAGAATAGGACAAATTCAATAATTTATCTCACCTCATCATGCCTGGAATTTAGTTAATTTTTAGTTGTGACATACTTGTATGTCTCCTCTAATCTGTGTAACTCATTCTTTTTCCAAAAATATAACTTATGTTAACCAAGCTAAGAGAAATACAAGTATCTCCTTGTGCAAACTAAACAGAGCTCTGATTGGATGAAAATGTTATTCTATTTCTTTTCTGCTCCAAATACAGCTCCGCCTTGTGAGCCGCCCCCCTTTGCCAACACCCGCTGTAGGAATTGGCACCATTCACCTGCAGCAGCATGAAGATGTTCTCACCAAGACCTTTGTTTGATGACATCCTTTAAAGAAATACGACTTCCTGTAAAGAAAACTGCCATAATAAGAAAGGGTTGCTTCCCCTACTCTCTCCTCTTTTCATTAGGTAACATGAAAAGCTAAGACGCTGGGATTGATGAGGACAGTTTAATCTGGAATATGTGGACTAGCCAAGGGAAATAATACATGAATCCAACAAATAACTTATATCCTTAAAAGTACCATCATGTCATATTTTGGTTAGATCTGAGTGCTTTACAGGGCTAGGTCATTATCCAGATTTTTTTCAGACTCCACTCTTATTAACTGTATATGACCAGGAAAAGTTCTTTAAGCTGACTTCATAGCTGCATAGAGATTGCCTCAACATTACCTCTCGATTTGTTTGATGAATATCACTCTCATTTATTTCCCCCTTCTTTATTCAAAGTCCAATATTTTAATTTGTGTCATCTTTGGTGCTGTTTTCCTGCCACTGAAAAATGTTTCCCCAAACACTGTAGCAAAACTATATTATTCCTAATTTGTTTTCTTCAAGATCATTGTACCCATTATCCATAAATATATGAAATGCCAATCTTTAGGTGTGATCTTTCAGCATAATATTAAGTTAAAGAGTTTTGTCTAAATGAAATTGTTTTGTGGTCTGTTTCAACATAGTATTTTTCTTTCCTAAATTGTTCTTGCAGTGATACCATCATATTTTATATTGATTTTGGGTGTCAGATAATGTGGATTTCAGCCTGATCGATGAACCAGTCTTGCCTCTAAAATCAACCAGTCTTGCCTGGTTGATTAATCAGTCTTTCCTCTCTGCTGCAGAATTTGTGTTGTTTAAGTAGCTCTTTAACTTTGACAGTGGGAACTTCCCAAAGCCAGAAACTTGGGGATTCACCAACATACTCCCTTATTCTGAAATTAAACTTAGCACTGGAAGCATAATTAAACAGCAGCAACTGCAGCTTTTTGTGGCTTGGTGCTGCAGAGGCCATTGACCATTCTTGTGCTGTGACACTGTTTTTCTCAAAAATGATGGGAGAAGTACGGGGGCACTGGAATGCCCTGTCCACTTTTACTGGTGACTAATTGGTAATGTTTTTCAGAATCAGTAGATAAGTTGTTCTGGTCACAGCAGTAGATTCACGATTCACATCTTAAATATATTAATTAGTGTACTGATTTAACATTTCTGTAATATTCACATCCCTTTTATTCCTTTCTGTGTCAAGCCTTATAAATCATGTAACTTGGTGCCATTCAAATAAGTCAGTAAAATTACAAAGGTCTGTTTAATGAGAATAGTTATGAATGTTGTGTACTGAACTAGAAAAAAAAATAAAAGAGTGCTATTTTTTTTCATATCTATTGGTTTTCCGAGTTAAAAAATTTCAAAAGGATAAGCCTAATATAAGAGATGGAAAACTAGATTTTTTTTTTCAAGTTTAGTTTAGATCTCTCCAAATTTCTACCTTTACACCTCATAAGTCCTTTTATGGTTTCTTGTTACATCTTCTCCAACTCGAGCCATGAAATGTGTCCTCTGTAACTTAGCCTTATTCTTTTTTTTTTTTATTTTTTTTTTTATTTTTTTTTAGCTGAGCCATCCTGCTACCTGTTGGCAGCTCACCGGCTGCTCAGCTCAGGCTGGACTTGAACCACTGTTGCTCAGAGCTCAAACTCTTGAGCGAGCTCTTAACCAACTGAGCCACTCGGCCGGCCCTAGCCTTATTCTTAATCACTACAGTAACATGGGTAAGAGGAAGAAACCATTTGAAGAATTCCATATTAAATACTCCCATGATAAAATATGGGATAAAAATATAATAAGGTAAAATAAAAATATTTTACTTTATTCCTCTTAAAAGTTTGATAATATGATATTTGTATCCCATTTTTAACTACCTATTCTAAATTTCATATTCAAAGAAATGTAGAGTTCAAATTGGGTATTCAGTGGTTAGAAATATTAACAACCAGGAAGAAATTTTAATTTTGTTTAAAATGATACATTATTCTTAGTAAAATAAAATTTTCTTCCTTACAAGAACCATTTAGCTCAGTTTTCCTATGTTGTCCATACATATACTCTAAAAAAGCATACTATGTTCTAAAACATAGTCTTTTTTAGGTTGGCTGTATTGCCTTTGAAGTTTTATCATTTAAAAAAAATTCTTTGACTGACTTTAGAAACAATGCTCCTTTTATGAAATTGAGGATCTGTGGTTTAAACAAATTTGGGAGCCGACCGAGTGGCGCATTGGTTAAGAGTTGGCTTGGGATGCCAGCTCTGAGCAGCAGGGCCCCGGTTCGGATCCCACATTAGGGCCAGTGACACTGCGCCCTGCACAGCTAAGATGATGAACAACTGCTCGACCTGGAGCTGGGCTGCCATGAGTCGCTGGCGACAGCATAGGCTGCAGTGTGTCTGGCCGGCAGCTGGCGTGAGCCACTGTAAACTGCCATGAGTGGCCGTCCAGTGGCCGGCGAACAACTGCCTCACCCGGGAAGAGCGCAATGATAATACCTACATGGCCCAGTGAAGCAACATCCTCCACAACTAGACTGAAGAACAAAAGGACAGCAATTTGTCTGTTCCCCTTCCCCAATTCCCCATTGCTGTTCCCCTCCCCCAATCCCCCAATAAAAATCTTAAGAAAGAAAGAAATTTGGGATTACACAGGAAGTCATAGATTACGAATGACGACTTTTGGGTTTTGAGGCTCCAACAGCTTTGCCTACATTTCTCTTGGATGTACTTGGATATTTGGTTTTCATCTTCAGCTTCTCATAGGGTTCAGGCTAAAACTATTATATTTTTGGAAAATCTGGACAAAAGCTTTAAATCCTCAACATTTATAATACACTATTACACAAACGACTCCTAAATTACTCTATGGAGGTAGGAATTCATTGTCATGCTTGTATTTAACAACCTAAAACAGACTGTTATTTCCACACTGCCAATTGCAGAATCAGTTAAGTTTTTAAAACTTTTAATGAAAGTATATTACTTCGGTGTTGTTTCCTTGTGTCTTCTCTGACTTATATGGAGAACCAGCTATAATTGAACAAAAATAAGAAATGAGAGCATTTCCTCAATAAATAGTTTATTAGACACCTGTTGCATATATGGCATATATGACATTGAACTGGACATTACGAGGTGTTATCAAACAATATGGTGAATATATAAATTAAAAAATGTATTACAGTAAAAGACACCTTGCCATTAATCCCCCCTCAAAATACCCTCCCTCACTTCGAACATTCTTATCCCATTGTTCTTGCCACTTTCTGAAGCAGTTCTGCAAGACCTTTTTCGTGAGTGTCTTTACTTGCACTGTTGTGGCTGCCTCAATGTCCTGAATGGATTCAAAACGTTTACCTATCATGGTCATTTTGACCTTGGGGAAGAGCCAGAGTCGCACAGTTCCAGATCTGGTGAATAAGGTGGATGAGGACACATCGTAATGTTTTTATGTGACAGAAATTGCCATACACCAGAAATGATGTGTGACATGGAACATTGTCATGATGGAGGATGATTTACATGCAGCACACCTTAAAACACACAGTCTCTGAACCAAACTCACACCTGACTGACTGCACTGAAAAAGTTGAAGCTTGTCACACACTGTTACTAAGATTCAATGCGCCACTTCCCACATTGAAGATCCTTGCCTTTTCGTTGGATGGCCCTTGGCAGCAGCATTCACGTAGTTTGTGATCACAACTGAAGGGCTCCATATCACACATCACTTGTGGTATGCCAATTTCTGTCAAATAAAATCTTTATGGTGTGTCCTCATCTACCCTATTCACCAGATCTGGCACCGTGTGAACATTTTGACTTTGGCTCTTCCCCAAAGTCAAAATGACCACGAAAAGTAAAAGTTTTGAATCCATTCAGGACATCGAGGATGCCACGACAGTGCAACCAAAAACACTCATGAGAGAGGACTTCCAGAACTGCTTCAGAAAGTGGCAAGGAGGCCGGCCGAGTGGCTCAGTTGGTTAAGAGCTCGCTCAAGAGTTTGAGCTCTGAGCAACAGCGGTTCGAGTCCAGTCCGAGCTGAGCAGCCGCTGAGCTGCCAACAGGTAGCAGGATGGCTCAGCTAAAAAAAACAAA